TGAGCATGAATCCATTCTGCTTTCCTCGGCAGAAAGAAGCAGTGTGGCCTCAACAGTGTCTTGGCTCATTTGGCCAGGCAAATAGTTAGATCTTTAGATCCTTGAAAAGATTTTTGCCTTTACAAAAGATTGTGTTTCCCCTTTGCTGCCAATCAGTCACTGAAGTGTGTCTGTGAGAAAGTGGATGTAACTTGAACCTCCTACTTCATCCAGGTAGATGGCACTGGCTTGAGCATGGCATAACCTGGCTTTAATTTTCCAAAGTCCTGAATGTTCATCTTCTATTATCTTCAATTACTGGTGGATTGAAATGATTTCTCTCATTGAAATATATTTGTTGCTTTTCATTTCTTTATTATTTATTTTATTTTTCTTTATAATTATTATTATAAACTTTATTATTCAAAATCTGGACTGTTAAGAATTATAAAGGAAGTTTCTCCCAGTGTCCCAGCTAACAATCTTCCAGACACGGTTGGTCATTCACCAATAGCCTTTTGAGGGACATTGTTATGAACAAATTGGCTGCAAATGCACAGTCGCTACACTTCTGTGTGTACAGTAAATTCTGTGAAGCTCTTTGAAACATTCTAACGACATAAAAAGGTGCGGATTAATATAAAGCATACATGGCAAAAATGAGCCTGTAGTTGTAACGCAGCACACGGGCAGTCCTCTGAGTCCACGAAGGGCATTTTAACAATTCAAAATGTATTGAGACAAATTAAGGACATGCAGTTAAAATAGATCACGAGGAGGTCTAATGGCACTGGCACAGTAGGTGCCAGTGCCAGTTCGAATTCAAATTGGAACCATCTAGAAATCCTTCTAACTGCTTCAAACATGCAAGGTTTCATTTGGGTTGCTTCAGATCTTCTGAGATTTATGTATCAGACCAGACACACAGAAATGTCCATACATAGGTTTGCTTGCAAATGTAGAACTCTGCCTGCTTCCTGGATGCCCTTAAAGCCTGGTGACGGGTTTCCATGTGTGTCAGACACCAGGCTGACCCCCAAAAAGTGCTTCAGATCGTCTGGGATTGAATGCAGTTTGTTGCCCTGATATATGATGAAACTCTCAGCACGATTCTAATGCCCAAAGTGCAATACCACAACCAAGCAACTTCCAAGAGTGTACAAGCAGCCACAACAAAACACAACTTGTCAATTAGTTCAGTCTCCCTTCTCGGGTTTTACGTTGCCATGGAAACTGGAGCAGGCCAATTTTTAACAAACCATTTCTTGAGTGGTTTTCAGAATTCATCAACAAACACTGTGATCCTGTGACCAAATTGCAATGAGGCTGCCCTGCAGATTCGTACAGACTGACCTAGTGAGATGGTTGAGACCCATCAATGGCAACTTCGCATTAAATTGAATCTCAGAGAGGGGGAAGATTGCCCCATTGTTACAATAAGAATGTTCCATTTTGGGAAAATAGAGTTTTTTTTTGAAGTGGCTCCTTTTCTAAAATCTTTCAGTGAATACTGATAACGCTTGGTGTCGGTGGACTTATTCCCTGGTTGGGTCTGCACAAGATTCCAGTAATGAGGTTTAATTGGGGACTGTTATCAGTCTGTAATTTTTTTCCGCTGCTTTACAGCAATACCAATCAGAAGCACATCTTCTATTAGGAGATGCAGTGAGATGAAAAAAGCAATTGGTGTGATTTGTGGAAATCCAGGAAAGAAATGTAATGATTGTTGGAGTCTCTGATTTATCTTTTGCCCATTTCATTATGCATTGTGGATCTGAATAGTAATTAACATTGCCAAAGTATGTCACTGTACTAGCTGAAACCATTTACTCTGTCTAACGTGATGCTGTTAAAATATATAGGTTTTCTTAAATAAAAGCCAAGGTCACGTTGCCAAAAAGAAAGTTTGCATGACTGCTGTCACATTTTATTATAAGAGATCAGCCAGTTTGACTTTTAGAAATATGTTTCTCAACACCATGGTCTATCTCAGAGTGCAATTTGTACAGGGATAAAGTGTCTACCATCCATTTGTTGCCATTATAACTTCATGCAAACTGCATTGGAAAGTCAAGTTTGAAGAAGGTGCGGAAAATTGAACTAATTTTAATTTGGTAAAGTTATCTGATATGAATTTGGATTCTCATATATCCCACGTTGTGAAATTAGCATTGTTGATTTTTATACAGTGTATTTTAATTGAGGTCAATATCTTTTAGCCTGAAAATTCTAGTTCTCTGGCAGTATCTGCTATTCGAGGTAAGTTTGGCATCACGGTATATGATCAAATCCAGAACTGTATGGGAATAGCAAAGAGTACAGGAGTAAACATCTGTGCAGATGCCCTGTTGAAATATACTTGAAAGAATTCAACCTGTTGTTTTTACTCATAACAATGACAGTCGGGTGCGCTAGAAAGAAGAAGGCATTTTATAATGCTATCAGAATGCTGCACCGTTTAGCATCAGTGTTGAGAGAAAACCTTCACTGTACCAGCACGAAAAGTGCAACATTGATACATGCAACATCAGTCATATTCTGACATTCTTGTCTCAAACCAGTGGCAGAATGGCAGCCTTGTGAAGCCTTTTAGTGACTCTTTCAAATTGTGCCATTGCTGGCTGCTGCTCTCTACTTTCAACGGTTGAAGAGATCTACCTGGCCATCTGCTGTCTTTTGTCAACAACCATGTCATTGCTAGTATACGAGACTGATTTGTAGCTGTGTGCGTTACACAGTGTGTGCACACAAAGAGCTCTGCCACCAGCCCTACTGTGAAATTAGGCAGTATTGCAACAGTATCAGACACTGACAACCTTCACGTGCACACATACTGCATCACACACCGTTGTTCAAATCCTGTCAGTACTTATTCAGGTTTCATTGTACAGTGATGCTATACAAGTCAAAACAATTTTAAAACACTTCATTCTCCCACTCTATCTGAAGGTTGGGTTGTTCTACTTTTGCAAAGTTTGTTTGTACGCCTACTCGGAAGTTCAGATACGAGCAGAAGTCATAGCTTGTGCTGCTAAGGAACCGTCATAGAAGGGACTTTCTTTTCTTTACTTGGACAGACTCTGAGTTTGAAATTAATGGAGCCATGCGCCAAAGGCTGGCACCCACCCTTCTCCACATAAACATTTGCAAGCCAAGGGAGAAATGGCACACAAAGACTAATGCTCCCACTCAGAGTAATAAGATCTGATAGAATTACAGGCAAGATTGTCTTGGTATGAGATTAGCTGTCATTAGGTGGCTCAGCACATTTAGAATTTGGAAGGGCCTTAATGACTCTTCAAACCATAGCACTTGATTTCAGGGTTAAATGAACCAGTTCCATTTTATATAAAAGACTTTCAGTGTTCAACTGATGAATGTGACTCGGTGCTCCTTTGTTTTAATGGTTAGGTTTTAATGGCATATTTAAATGGTGCCTGAGCAATATCAACATTATTTTTCTATTAGAACAACATGTGTCTCACGAGTCTCTGCTTTGCTGGATATTTGTGTGGTGTTTGCTTTCATACCTTTTAAAGAATAATTTTTATCAATATTTTATTTCCACAGTAACAGTGTGCTTAATTTTCCTCCAAAATGTACCCTCTTTTTTTCTTGCATGCTCAGTCTCTTACCACATTTCATTCTTTCTCAGGACCTTTACACTGTGGGACATGTTGCTTCTCCCCTACAAGGGGAAAAATCCTTACCGTGTTTAAATCTCAGTTTATCACTGCTTGACTTTGCCACTTCTTGATTTATTTTCTCTGCTGCCTATTTCAACTTTGGTGGTATATCATTGTTGTGTGTGGAGTGGAAGATACGCCCTTTGTTTTCCTCTTTAATCGGTGCCTTGCACGTCCTTCTGACATGAAAGGTGCTATATAAATGTAATTTTGTTCTTGTTTTTCCTGTCTCATTGATGTATACTGTTCATTTGTAAAGAGTAATGCAACTATTTCATAACATGAAAGGCTAGTTACTGACAACTGGTTCTGTATTCCTCTCATTGCTCATCCTTCCTGCTTTGTTTGTGGTCCTCATCACCTTTAGCAGTAAATTCCTTTTCATGTTGAAGCATTACATGTAAATAAGTTTATATACATAATTTTTTCCCATGTTCAGAATGTCAGAACATGTCTGTTGCATTTATAGAGTTTAAACTTGCTTGCTTTGTTGGTTGAAAATCTGGAATAAAATTCCGTCAGTTTGAGAAAAAATTAATACACAACAGAAAAGACCCAGTTGAAGTAAAAAGCGATGCATTTTTCTGTTGGGTGTCGTTTTAATAACTTTTCATAAAATAGATTGCAATTTTATGCAATGAACAGTCAAGTTTCATTAACACCACTCTTCAATAAATGTGGTACGTTTATGCTTCCATTATCCCAGTCGTAGAGCATTATTTGTCAGTCAATGGGTAGTAAAATTCCTTTTGGTATTATCTCCTGACCTCCATCACACTGAGTACATGATAAGCATAGGAAAGAGTAAGATAAATAAACAATGGAGTTGTAACCGGATGGTTGAGGGAAATTAAATAGAATATACAAACTTACATTTCATATACTTTTCACTAATTTTAGTGCTCCTCTCGAGTGTTCAACGGTGCACAGTGCTGAGCTGGTGCAAGACACTAACCATTCCGGCTCTGAAATTGGTGAGAGGTTGACATAAGCCGCAAGCGAGACCTCATTGATTTACTTCTTTCCTATGGGTAGCGGCTTACCTTATGTTTTACATTTTTGCCTCCTTTGAAATAAACAAGATTGTGAACTCATAGCATGGGGAAACGATAAGCACAAATGCTCAAGTTCCTTTCCCACGGCGTGTGGCTAAAAATCCAGTGTTTTCTCACATTATTTAATCTGTATGTGCATACTAAGAATATTTTTTGAGGCATCTGTTAGATAATTTACTATAAATGTGCAAGATCTGTTGTAATGAGTTGGCGCACAGACACTGTGGTGGTTTGATTGTGGGTAAAAAATTTTATTTAAACCCAGTCTTTCTTTATTCAGGATTCCTGAAGGCCCCATTGATCAGGGAACTGCAGCCGCTGGAAGAATACGTGCATTAGAAGAACAGCTCACAAAGGCCAAAGCGCAGATAGAAAGCTACAAGAAGCGTCCAGGCTACGGTAGGTGGTGTTTGCTCTGTTGTCGAGTCTCCAGCAGGGTGGGGGGGGGGGGAATGATGTGTTGAGGCCAACAATTGACCTTACTCATTCCCCCGGAGAATAGTGAGGGGAAAAGATCAACTAGAATACTCACTCCTGTTTGCTATCCAGTGATCTCTGCTGGACTTCACCGCAGACTGAGGATTGAACCAAGGACATTTCAGGTTTGTTTGTATGGGGCAGATTAACACTACCTCTGCAGTTACTTTATCAACTGAGCCTTGTGGAAGAATTAATTTAATTGTTAATGTTGAGCTGCATGGAGACCAGGCGCATTGGATTCCCCATGACCTTTGGACTGGTACCAGTTATGACTCGATCTAAAGGGAATCCTGTTCACTAACCTGACTCTAAATAGAGAAGTGACTCGCAGCGTCATTAAAAATGTGACTTTTTGTTGCAGATTTTTATATAATTTTGTATATTTAAATACCAGGTGTCTGACACACGTGGAAAGTCAATCACCAAGTTTAAGAGTATCCAAACCAGACTGGGTTCTGCACATTTATATCACCTGCACATCAAGTATACATAATGTAAAAGGCAGAAGCAGTTGTGATGGTCAGGCAGTCAGAATCAAATACTATCAATGAAATCGTGATGCTTTGAAAATGCCTTGGCCAGCAGTCAGGTAATCGTATTACGTGGTATCACAGGTCCTGGGAAGCAACATGAGGAGCTACGGCGTAAGATTGAAAATGGAGTGAAGGAACTGTGGTTCTTTATACAGAATGAAGTGAAGAAACTGAAGCATTTGGAAGTAGAAGAAGCACAGCTGCGAGCGGATGCACTGCTTGAGAACTTTGGTCACCATGAAAGGTACGCTACACGTTACCTGGCACCATAACACAGCAATCCTGGCACCATAACACAGCAATCCTGTAGCTCAGTGGTTAGAGCACTCACTTTGCAAGCGAGACACCTGGGTTCAATTCCAGGCACAGGGCGAAACCTTGGGCAAGTTTCCTTACTCCACACGCCTAATAATAAATCCCTCCAAAACAAAATAATAATAAATTGGTCGTTTTCAATTCACCACTGTTTGTGGGACACTGCTGTGCGCAATAGGCTGCTGCGTTTCGCCCACAAATATACAGTCAATTTACTTTACAGCATATTCTGTGAAGCGCTTTGAGACGTCTAGAAGACGTGAAAAGCGCTATATCAAATGCAAGGATTATTATTATTATTATACTTTGCACTAAGCCTGTTGTGGCTCATTGTTTTTTTCAAAGTGCTTTCCAGACAGTGGTGGTGATTCAGTGGGGGAAAAAATAAATGCATTTGTTTCACTTCATTCCTTTCTAACAAATATTTATTGTAAATCTAAAAAAATGAGCTTTCACGTAATCTGTTATTGAAGAAATCATTACTGTAAGTGCCTTTATGTGAAAGCACACATTCAGTTTCTTAATCCTATTCAAAAATACAGCTTAGTTCATCTCTTTACCCATTTTCTAACATTGCATTTTCATCTTCAAAGCCTTCCCACTACACAGACTGACTGCGGGAACACATCACGCCAGTAATAAAAGAAGGTTCACTCTCATGCACATTAGAAAACATAACCAATGCCTCTAAATGAATTTAAGGCACTAAATCCAATCTTAAGGCTCAGGCACCATTCATAAAGCATACGAATGTTGTCTTGCACTGGCTGATGTTCTCTGAGCCCCTGGATTGGATTACTGCCTTGTAATTTACTCAGAGCTGTCAATTTTTCTCTGTATTGAAACAAACCTCTGTATCTTGACTGCCCTGAAAGTTTTTTCAGAATGCAATTCATCATAATAGGTAGGATTTCTAAACTAGTCTAGTTCAGTGTGCTGTACCAGATTTAGTCTTGATAATAAATAAATTCATTGCCCAACAGTTTTGTGCTTTACAATATTTTCAACTCTTTGTGTGGGCACTGTCCTTTCAAGGCTTTCACAAGCATATCAGTAGGATGGAACTCAGGGCAGGATAAGGGAACTTTATTTTTCGTTTTACACATAGTGACTGTGTCTGGCACGACTGGTTCAGACATACAGTTAGCCAGAAGCATTTGAGAGTTCCTTGTACATCAGCCTGATAATGCGCCATGACCACAGATTCTCTGCTGCCTGTTCCCTGTGACTGGGCTTGCTTAAGTAGAACAAAGTCGTGCTGTGAACAGCTTTGTGCAGTCTGCTTGCCTGAACTTTGAGCTGGAGAATTCTTAAATTCAGTTAATGTGGAACATGTTGCCAGCAGCTGAGGGAAGAGACCTTCTTCCCATCTGTTCATTACATCTCTGATTCCAACAATGAAAGGGCATCGATGTGACATTCTGCATCCCCCACTTCCCTCTTTGTTACCGCAAGCTACACAAACTTTGAGCAGTGCTCAAGTCATTGAGCAATTCATGTTTGGTCAAGATGTTATGATCTGGATGTCGTATTGGGTGAGATGTGTGGGCTCGCTGCCAGTGGAAGCAAATCGTTGTTGATCGCCAATTCTCTTTGAGTAGGCATGTTTTCTGTTGATACGTTTGCCCAGCTCTTATGGCTACAATGAAGAATGTGCATTGCCAGAGATCGAGGGAGAATGTCTGCAGTCACCACGTGTGGACCAGATGGGGGCAAACTCAAAATATTTTATTAAATGCTCTAAATGTCACTCAGAAACGTTGCTGAAAACTTGCCCCACTTAGAATACTATTTGACCCTATCTGTGAGACATGTAGTTGAAGTGTTTGAATAATTAGAAATCATTGCACTCCTATAGATGCAATTCCCAGTTCTCTGCTCTGCCAATGCTCCGAGCATTTGCAACTCGATTTCCTTCCTTTATTCTTTATCTCCCCCACACACACACACGCAAAACTACATCACTGAGCATAGTTTCTGATAATACGAATGCTCATGACAGCATGTTATATATGATGATAATAATAATAATCCTCACATTTGATATAGCCATTTTCATGTCTTCTAGACGTCTCAAAACACTTCACAGAATATACTGTAAAGTGAATTGACTGTATATTTGTGGGCAAAACATGGCAGCCAATTGCGCACAACAGTGTCCCACAAACAGTTGTGCATTGAAGTGACCAATTTTTTTTAAGTGACCAATGTTCTTCCAGGAAAAGTTGTGCGAACAAAAGAAAGTGAGGGTGCACTTTTTGGCTATACAGGATTTGAGTTCGTAAGTGTAAAGAAGCTTTACTATGTACAGCATTAATAATATCACATTTGCCTTAATCTTGTGGCACAGTTTATTTTCACAAATGTTTTCATCCAAATATGTTGACAGTTTACTTCTGGATTTGATTTTATAACTTCAGTAAGAAAATCCACTTCTCCTGTAAAATTAAATCAATGTGTGATGCATTAATCGATTGGCAGATCACTTTTCTAGGGTAATAATTCCTTCAAAAAAATAATAATAAATTGGTCACTCAATCTATGACTGTTTGTGGGACACTGCAGGTGTGCCACTTTTCATCCACAAAATATACAGTCAATTCAATTTACAGTATATCTGTGAAATGCTTTGAGATGTCTCGGAGACCTGATAAGGTGCTATATCAAATGCAAGGATTATTATTATCTACAAATAGATGGTAGAAAGAACAATTGGGAACTCCTGCCTGGATATAACCCGACTCTTCTCATAATGATAAATGTGCAGCAGTTCTTTCCTGACAGGAGTCGGATTCTTCATGTCACTTTGCACCTTCAACCACTGCTCACCTTGTGCCCTCCATCCCAGATGGCATTGTATGCCATCAAATCCAGACAAGTGTAGGATGCCCTCATGTGGCCCTGTCTGAAAGTGCAGCATCGCTGAGTTTCCCCAAACATGGGGTCAAATGCCAAAAAAAAAAGCATGTTAATTCTATCCACTCTGGTGATTGACGAGGGTTCTGCATTGAACCAGGTTACCAACAAAAATTGTTGCATGAGGATTTACCACCTGGCTGCCTCTGAACCTTGGGCTGGCAACAGTCTGTAGCCGTGCATAGAGATGTACAAACACTTCAAAATGCACTCATCTCATTGAAGCTACAGCTGAGTAGCCATAGGAGATGCGCAGTCAGGTGCGAGCAGTAATTGAGAGACAGAATGATTGAAGGGTGAGAGGGTTGAAAGCACACCCACTGTGCACACACACAGACCTCCTTTATTCTTCACTTTTCATGCCACTTTTGTTTCGCACCATCTATGTGAGACTTGCAAATGAAAAAGGCAGCACAGAGCTGAATAGTGGGACAAGATTCACATTTGCACATCTCAGTAAAGCGGGTTTGCATCTTTCCTAGGTAAATTGCTCTCAAGATCTGCTTGAATGTAAAGAGAAAGGAAAGCTGCTTTAGAAATCTGGCCTGCACTTTTTGACAATTTCTAGTGTCATAGTTACATTGTAAACAAACTGCAAGCTTGCTAAAAGGCTAACCAGATATGCGGTTATCAAATATGCTGCTGTAATTTAATAACTGGATGCAGACCTAGCACTTTATGCATGTATTTTCTTCATCTTGGCCTCATTTGGCAGCATTACTTCATTTTGGGCAGTTGTGACAACTGCCATTTTCACTTTTCGTGTTTTCTCCCCTAGTCTCGTCTTCTTCCTCATGTTGGGATCAGTTCCAGTTTGGCCTTAAATACCTCAAATACCCAATGAACAAGTACATTGTGGACTGCATTCAATTATCCCCATGAAAATTATATTATTCAGCACAGACGTGAGACTATTCTTCTCCATACAATTCATGCTATTCAGGCATAGTATTATTGTAAAGTTTGCCACTTTGGTTAGGCATTTTGCAAAGCTCTCCCCTCCTTTGCCAAATCTTAGTTTCAAATTGGAACTCTTACTGTGACAATTGACTATACCGTGGCCAAAACCTGTGTAAGATCCAGATTTAAATTGTATATTGAAAGATTGGAGGAACTGTGAAGCTATGGAATCCAGTCTCCTGGAATCAAGACTGTGCAGATACATTTTCATTACCCTTCCATATCAGCAGATATAGAAAGGGAAACTTGCAATGTCTTCAATCTCAGCTAAATAAAACTTCATCCCAGAAGGCAGGGTCGAAGCTCTAACTAACCCGCTGTGACACATCAAACCCCAACATTTGCAGTTGTTGTTTGGCATTGCTGTTCAATCTTTCTTTCTGTTTCCTTGCCTTTTCTTTAGGTCCATCATGATCGACTTGTACGACCTCAGTCAAACTGATGGGGCTGATGAATGGAGAGAAAAAGAGGCCAAGGATCTGACTGATCTTGTTCAACGCAGAATCACACATCTGCAGGTATTGTTTGTTTAGCATATCGTGGAAGATCTGTTATTTAGTTGCATATTGATTTAAAATCAAATTAATTGTTTTTTTAATAATTCATAATAGCCTTAGGCGTCAGAAGGACGTCTCAAAGCACTTCACAGGATTTACTATAAAGTGAAGTGACTGTAGTTTATCACAGCTAGAAGGCCTGTAATTGTTATTTTATTGTATGCACCAGTGAAGCCCATTGGATTTCACGTGCAAGTTAAAATGTCTTCTCCAACAATTTGTTGGAGAAGTCAGTCATGCTTTTGACAGAGGGATTTGAAGTTATTTCATTGCCCAATAGGTTAATTTGATTGGGCTTTGATATTTTTATTTCTGTGGCATTACGCTTTGAAAAGTATAGGATATAAGTTGCTGTCGATGAAATTAATTAACGACTTGCAGATCAGTGTGCGATCGGATGAAGTTTGGGAAATTTATTTTCTACTTTACGTTCTGTGAAAGCTTTAGTATATTACACAGACCATCTGCAGGCTTTGTTGAAATCCTCAAGGTATTCCTGATGCAGTCAAAGTATACCATGTTAGAAATATGTGTGAGAAAGAGGAAAGACCACTCTTTCTAGCTGTTCATGAGAAATTTGTACTGCCAAGGGCTCCTTATAATGGCTAATGAAATCTCTAGGGTTTGCTGACAAATCTAAGAATTTCACAGAATGGGGAAGTGATTAGTAGTGTTGCTCTGGGACTTGAATGCCAATCTAACCCAGGCTCATGGGATGAAAGTATTTGCATGCTTTTCTACCATTGGAATAAATGATGGGAAGTATTGTCACCCACAAGTTAAGTAAATAATGGAGCAATGTTAATAAAGAAGGTAGAATCAAGTAATGCTATTGTAAACCAAACAGTTAATAGTAAAGATGAGATTCAATACCCATGGAAGTTCTTAAAAAATACAAGGTGAAAAACTGTTATTAAATGTCTGTGAGCAGGGTTGTATGTCTAACGAAGGTCATACACAAAGGTTAACTGTGTTGTCAAACATTCAAGGTTCTATTTCTGCATTTCCTATAGAGTGAGATAATGATACTGGGGACATTAGATACAGGAAATATCTTAATGGAAATGTTATTGCAATAAAGTCAAAATGCCTTACATTTATTACACGGCCCATTTTTTTACATGAAGCTTACGTTTTGTTTAATTTTATCTGACAGTGAAAGAAGAAGCACCCACGCAAAGTTAGACAGTTGTACAGTTCTGACTCGCAATTTTATCATGGGCATGCCACATCACTAACCAACGCAACAGAACAGCGAGTGGTCAGGGACTGAGTCAGTGATTGAGGTTGGATCCCATCCAAAACAGCACAGTGAGGAGAAGACAGGCAGTCTCCTCGAGGTGAACAATAGGAGCCAAAAGGAAAGGTGATCAAACTGAGGGACGTGTGGAGAACAGGAGTTGCACTGTACTGAGTCATTTATAATTAAAATGTGATACTGCTCCAAAAATGAAGCTTAGGCTAAATGATCAGTGTTTGGCTTTCACCAGGCTTACAGAGACCTGAACTTCGGAATTATTTTGCAATCTTGAAGCCAAATTCTTTGCAATAGAAAAACATTGCTCTCCCTCCACCCCGCCCCCCCCACATCAAACCCCACACACATAATCTTCCTCCTCACTGGAATGTCAGTGATCAATGAGCGTGTAATTGATTTTAAACAACCACATTTTGTTGCTGAGTCCAGCAGTAAACAGCAGCAGTTATGAAGGGAGCATATGTAAAGTGACATTGTGCATGTGTACAAAGAAACATTTTATCACTTCATTTTTTTTAATGCGATGCTTGAAAAACAGATGTATCGAAGGGCATGGAAAACAAAACCAGGGGAATGTAAAAGATCAGTGACGATATAATAAAATGGCGAAACAAACTTGATGGGCCGAATGGTCTAATCCTGTCTCTGTATTCCAAGACGAAAATGTCAAAAACAGGACAAATTTAAGTTGCTGCAAATAAAATTTAACTAATTTTTGACTTCTCAAGTTGTTTCCAAACTGCAGCTGAGGCATGTGAACTCTGTAAAAAGCTGGTCTGATTGAAGTGAATGTGTTTTTTGAGTTGAATGCAATATCATAATCTGAAATCACCAGCATAATGTTCTTACACTTTAATATTAAAAAAACACACAATAGACCGACTTGGCAATAAATTTTCCTGACTATTGGGCTATTGTAAGAGTAAATCTTATCATTGCAGTGCTTGAGGGAAGCGAGAGTATTCTGAATACATGAAAACTGCCGGAACACAAGCCCTTTGATAGGTAACAATACAAAGGGTTATCTTCCAGATTGCAGGTGGAAACCCATTTTGGTGGATTTTTGATTGGGTTGGAGTTTAATTCATTATAAAAACTTGTGTTCTGTGCAAATGTCATTGAATCATAGAAAAATTTAGAAAGCTTGCAGCATGGAAGGACGCCTTTCAACCCATCGTGTCTGAATTTGTACAATGAAAACTGTAAAATGGATTATATGAGAAATAGAAGATATACTTTGAGGATAAGGAAGGCTTTCCGTTCACTCTTATATAAATTGTTTTAAAGCAGGTCTGAGTAGCTCTAACTTGCCCTGAGTGACCAAATTTTATTTAAGGAATTATTACCCCTAGAAAAGAGATCCGTCGATCAACTAACAATCGGATTCCTATTTACTGCTGGGTAAACAGAGGTGTGTGGGGTAAGGAAACTTACCCAAAGTTTTGCCCTGCTGGGAATCAAACCCAGGTCTCTCGCTTGCAAGGAGAGCACTCTAACCACTGAGCTACAGGACTCCAATAGATGATTTGGACTGTTGAAAATTAGGCCAAAGTCCACATTTACATTCAAAAATCTAATTTACTGCCTGATGGAATGTGTTTAGAGAATTTATGATAACCTGGAGAATAGGCCCCTTGTGCTTCACACCCAAAAGTGAAACCTTGTGTCAAGTTGGTATTTTTAAAAGTTGTGGGTTTCAATCACTAAGATTTTACCAGAGGTCGTGTTGAGGCAGCAGCACCATCCTTAGTATTGGGATCAGATTTAAAAGCCTGACTATGGAAGTCAAGTCATTGCAGCCTGTTTTCCAGACAAGCTGTCACTCACAGACGTCATTGCTGGGGCAATAGTCACAGGAAAGAAGAGTGTTCCACTTTGTTGAGCTGTGAATTAGTTAATGCAGAGTCTGACATCCTTTCTTTATAGGAAGCACCTTTACCCTGAACTCAATTGACATCCACTATTGGATTCTCCTGAATCTCTAATATCTGTTTGATAAGAATTACAAGAGCTTCTCTGTGCATTGAATAATATTTTTTACCCCACCCCTCCTCCCAAATGTAGAAAATTGCAGCATTTTAAACTGTTTATTTTGCATTGTCTAGCTCTTTCACTTGTCTCACTACTATTTGTAGACCTCTTGTCAGCCTATCCCTACCTCTCTATTAATTTTCTGTTCCATTGTCTACATAGCCATTTATCTAATCAAATGACTTAGTCTGTGGCCCTAGTGGACACCAACCATTGCCCCTCTTAAGAGGTTCTTCCTACATTCTTTGTCACCAAATTAATTGCTGTTGTCTTTGGTCTATTCTTAAGGCAAGCAAAGAAGATGAAAAAGAACATCATTTTCTCTTGCTTCAATTAAATGCAGTAGTAAAATATGTACAGTCCCAGCAGAAGAGAATTATTTCTCAGCCTAGCAATATATTTCTTTTGCAAAACTATCCAGCGCCTTTGCTACAGCAGCAACTTCAGTGTATTCCCCGTTGCAATATCTGGTGATTAGGTTTGAATGTTGGGATTAACTCAGATTAATTCAGATATGGGGAAGGGCAGAACGAGCATTTTCGTCTCCTCTCATTTCTACAATCTGGTTTTGGCCTGGTTACCCCCTGCAGTGGCCATAATGTGTTTCTGGTGTTTGTGTAAACATAATCCTCAAAAAAACCTTGCATTTGATGTACCACCTCTCACATTGAGAGGATGTCTCAAGGCACATCAGGGGATATACTGCAAACTGTAGTGACTGTATTTTGTTGTTGAACACAGCAGCCAATTTGCGCACAGCAATGTTCCGCAAATAACCATGAAGTGAATGAACAATTTTATTTGGGGGATATTTGGCCAGGATACCAGAGGAAACTCCACTCTCTTTTCAAATTGTGCCAATGGATTTTTAACGTCCACCTGATCAGGCAAGGTACTACTGTATATGATTTGTTGAATAATCTTCACTTGTGAATTCAGTTTAAGAGTGTTTTAAACACTGAGAATCATTTGATGGCACAAACATGGAATTTGGGTATAGATGCACGGCAACAGGGGCATTTTTAGGAGCGGCAGAAATGCTTTTAAATTCATGGGGGAAATTAAGATAGCAACAAAATATTCATTGAAACCTTAAATAGCAATTAAACTGTGAGACCGACCTGATGAATTTTATCTAAGTGAAAGTAGCACTGAAATTTGTTCCAGTTCTTTGGATGCCAGGGCAGGATCAGAAGGTTGTAAAGTAACTAATGTTATTCCTGCTTTATTCTCTTTCCAGGAACTAATTTTAAAAAGCAGCAATAAAAATGGATTTGAAAAGAATAAGGCAATAATTCTAAGCCAACTGGGTCTGTGAGAAACAAATTGTGCGAAACAAATGTTTCCCTCCCCTCACCCTGAACATTTCCCCCCTGCTTGGGTCCCGACCCAGCTGTCCAGCGCCTTGGGACGTCCTCCCGACGTGAAAGGCGCTCTATAAATGCAATCTCGTTGTTGTTGTTGTTGTGAGGTCTTTGAGGCTGTAACTGAATTGGTGGATGTTCGGAATGCGGTTGGAAATACATCTTTTCACTTTCAAAAAAGTGCTTAATAAAGTGCCTCGCAAGAGACTTACATAAAATTGCATACAATATACAGCATAGAAACATACCATTCGGCCCAACTGGTCTATGCTGGTGTTTATGCTACACATGAGCCTCCTCCTGCCCTT